CTGAGGGTTGCGATCCGTTGCCGGACACGAAAAAAGACAAAAAAAGGGAAAAAAAAAAAAGAAATAAAATGCAATGTTCATATTGGTTTTGCTAAAAACAGACATATCTGATCACCTCTTTGGTTTTACACAACTTACGAGTTTAGAACACACCTGAAAGGGAAAACTCTTCCAAAAAGAAGTAATGTTCCCCTTTCACAGAAATTAGAAGTAATTGATGTCAAGAGTAAATCTGATTTTCTCTTTTTAACTCAAGATGAATATATTGGTTTACTTCTTGACATAAAACATTTATTGTAAGTTAATTACTAGGTAATTAAGAAATTATGAACCAAAAAAGGAAGAGGTGGCTGGGCTTGTATATTTCTTTGCCACCCTGTTTCTGAGTCTAAAAAAATTTTTAAGATGTCTAAGGGAATCATCATTAATATTTTAGATATTTATACTTCTGCCCTCCTTAAAACTCAAGTGAACAGGGAGAAAGGCTTAGAAGATGCAACATTGTGGAGTGCAAAGATGTTGGCATGGAGCTTCAGGAGACAGGTTCCAACCCAGATGCTGTTACTGAAAAGTCTTCCATATCCTCATCTATAAAAGAAAAAAGATGAGCTAACAGTTCCTTAAAAAATACAGTCTTTGACTGTCTAAAATACAGGGTGTAGTCACTGTTACAGTTGTCACTGCAAAAAACACTGCAGTACTAGAAAGCCATCCAATCACCATGTTTAGGGAAATATGTTAAAAGCTGTAAGAATCAAAGAGCCTACACAGTAGAATGAACAGAGTCCATGAGAAAGGTTGAATGAATCCATAGGATTATTGATCACAGGACAATGCTTTCTCAAAGCCATCTCCAAGGCAGATGGTACTAGAAGAAAAAAAGACTATGATTGAAATAATTGGCATGGAAGGCCCAGGCTAGAGGAGTAAGTCGAGCAAAAATATCTCTACTTGCTTGATTCTAATAGTTAACATTGAAATGCACTACTTCTGGAAGTTCAGTATCTTCAAGACTTTGAAACATCATCATTTATGATGATTTAGGAGTATTTCATACATAAAGAAAAAGAGTGGGCACTCTGGAATCAGTTTTTCTGGTGTTCTATCCTGGTTCTACCTAGCTGTGTGACATAGGTATATACCTTAACCTCTCTGTTCCTTAAAGTCCCAATCTGTAAAATAAGAATAATTATGATTCCTACCTCATAGGACTATTGTAAGAATAAAAAAATAATAATGCACATGAAGAATACAGCGGTGACTGATACATAATAAATGCTTGATTAATGGTAAGTGTCACTGTTAACATTTAGCATGCAGAAAAGGCAGGTAATTTAATGATCTCTGAAGATTCCTCTTAAATACTACACTTCAGAGACCAGCTCATAATCCTCCATACTGATAGGACTATCATAAATTAAAGCAGAACAGGACTATAAGAGAGGGATCATGGAGCCCTGAAGGCCAATGCAGTAATGGAGTGCAGAGACAGCACAGAACAAGGGAGCGGAGGTCCAGAGCACTCACTAGACTCAGTATAACACAAAAGTCACAATGTCAAAATAGAGTTTTCACATCAGGAAATGTGAAACATTTCTAGTCACCATCCTCAACTTCAAATTACTTTCCTCTTTTGAGAGCACAGTTATTACAAATCAGCCTATGGGCTTGTGTTAATATACTTCAAATTACTTTCCTCTTTTGAGAGCACAGTTATTACAAATCAGCCTATGGGCTTGTGTAGACCCCTTGTGCTATGAGCATGCAGAGGGGGTCAGCTTACAATAATTCTCCTGTCCAAATAGCTATTTGCTTATTAAACTAGAATGACATGTAGATTTCATCTTGATCCTTTTAATCTGACCAATAAAACTTCCTGCAATGAGGATAATTAATGTTCTATATCTACGCTGATCAACACAATAGTCACTAGCCCTTGAAATGTGACTAGAACGACTGCAGAAATGAATTTGTAATTTATTTAACTTTAATTAATTTAAATTTTAAAAGTCACATGTGGCTAGTGGCTACCATATTGGGCACTGCAGTCAGTTGGGGGTGGCTGTCTGCAGCACTGTACTGAAGGGATCCTAACCTGAGTTTGGGCCTATCAGGAATGAGGGCTGTGATTGATCAGAGATATCTGTTCCTGTACAGGGAAGGGCACCTTTTATTACATTTGCAGGGTCAGTTAAAGGATTTTCTCTCCTCTTATGCCAAAAGAGAGCCTCTCTTTTCTAACATCTACACTGATTTGGGACACTAGGAAGTCATTTTCTGCTGTTGTAAGAAATAAGATTGGCTGGAAAAAAAAAACAGATTTTAATAGGAAAAAATTTTTAAAAGAATTTCACCCAGGATAATGCATAATGCCCCTCAGTATTCAGGGAAGAAATACTTGTTTCTAGCAGTTTTATAGAAAGACATAGAGTGTTAAACTATTGATTATTTTAACCTATGTTAGAGGCCTTTCTTCAGTAATGCTATAGATGTATGTCACGGAAAAGTCATTAAGATGATTCAATAAATGAAAAACAGATTACATAGAGAGAGTAAACCACATTATCCATTTTAAATGCAGAAAATATACTACAGCCATTGTGAAAGAAACCACCTTGCCTGGGATGAAAGTACCACGTCCCTCAGCACTTTAAAAATAATACACTTGACTTAAAGAGGAAGGAACAGAACTCTAACATTTGATTATTTCAAACATATCACTGTACTGCCTTCAGGAAACACTATCTAGGCCGTGCATGGATGAATCAAAAGATGCCACATACAACACCATGTGCCATCATGTGAAAAATCAGAAACATATATTATCATTTCCAGATCCCAAAGTAGGTTCCTATAATGTTCTCCCAAGAGAAAGTTAACTCAAATTCCCATGAACATTTGGTTGCAAGGTGATCTTCAGAGCTTCAAGTTAAGACCCATTTTGAAGTCTACTGTGAGATTCAAAAACGCATAACTAAAATGGCAGGGCAGAGCTTCAAGTTAAGACCCATTTTGAAGTCTACTGTGAGATTCAAAAACGCATAACTAAAGTGGCAGGGTTTGGGGCCGGCCCGTGGCTCACTCGGTAGAGTGCGGTGCTGATAACACCAAGGCCACGGNTTAAGATCCCCTTACCGGTCATCTTTAAAAAAAAAAAAAAAAGGCAGGGTTTGGGTATAAGCATCTATTTCCATACCAAAGCCCTAACTAACTCTGAGAAGGCTCTAGAATTACTCAAGTCTCTCCCAAACCCCGAGATGCCCAGAGTAGAGTCAGTTAGTGCCTAAATCCAACTGCTCCAAACAGAAACACATTAAAGCCATTACTTGTATTACCCTCATCCCTTAAAGAATTTACAGTCTCTGGTAAGATAATGAACCTGGTAATTTACCCTAGTAAGATAATGAACTTGTCCTGACACAATTTACTATTTTCCCAGAATTCTGTATACATAAATTCATCTTGGAATTTCACCTAAGAAGGTCTATTTTATTCACAAACCAAAGATCTTCTATAAGCTGGTCCCATAGGTAGATTCCCAAAGACAATATTCTAATGAGATCCTAGCTAACCAGAGCTGCCATTACAGCAAAATTTCAACTACTATGTATTTAAATAGAATCCATGTCCAAAACAAAAAAAAAACTGTCACTGTCTTTCAGAATAAAAACAAACTGTTGTACTTTTTCTTGAACTAATAAATAACATCAAATTAAAAAATTAACAGGAATTCAGAAGTAATCTCTTCTCTTACCTCTACCACTGTGGTTTCTGCAGCTTTGCACATCGGCAAGTTGAAATTCCTTGCACTTTTCCTATATCAAGGGGGTGGGGGGCAGAATAAGGAAGTGGAGAAAGAAGGCCAAATATAAGAAGTGTCTCTTTCAGCTTAAAAATGTTATAAATTAAAAGAATTCCTATGAACTAAGAATCCATGAACCTTTTCAGAAAGTATCATATTTTCCATTAATGAAGTTTATTACTATCCTATAAATTAAAAAAATATGATGGCCACTTCATCCAATTTACATAGCTTTTTAAATAGGGCTGAGGGAAAGAGGAACTATTTTTCATGTTCAACATATATGAGGGTACTTCAAAAACTTCATAGAAAGATTTGCATTATCTTTTAATTCTATTTTTCCACGAAATTTTTGGAGTACCTTCGTATCTTATACACACAAAAATAAAATGGATATTAATGAATCTACCGTATTTGAAATTAATATCCTTTAACCGTTTAACTGGTATGTTACTTTGTTTCTATAATTAAATATTTCACTAAACAACTTGATCTCATTAAAATATTAAGGGAAAAAAAATAGCAAGTGCTTCACATTAAAAAGAATAGTAATTACATTCTGTATTATAGAAGAGCCCATTGCTAAAATTAAATGAAACGTTCAGTGGTAACATTCAGAGTCACCAATAAAGATCATTCTGGAGAACCATTTTCTGATTAA